CGCCGTGCCTGCGCCTCTACCACCACCACCACCACCACCAATACCGCCACGCATCCGGGATGGCCGCGACGGCCGCTGTTGCTGGTGATGCTGCTGCCGCCGCCGGTGGGTGGCGACAGACCCAGCGGTGGTATACGCCGATGCCGGGCGCGCCTCCCCGCTCGCCCGCCCTGAAGGCCACCGTGGACGCGGGCCCCCGGGCCGCCGTGCGCCACATGGGTCCTGACGCCGCCGCCCACGCCGCGTGATGGCGTACGACACGGCCGGGCCGGGCGGCGGCGCCGTGGCATCATGAAACCCGTCGGCCGCCGCCGCCGCCGCCGGAGAAAGCGGATCGGCTCGCCATGATCTGGCCCAGGTCCGCGCCGCGCGCGCCGACGCCATGACGGCCGCCGCCACCGCCCGCGACGGGCTGCTCCCCACCTTCCCTTCGCCGCCGTCCCGCTGTCGCGTCGTCGACCCGCGTCCTTGCCGTCTCCTCCGACGCCGACGCCGCCGACGGGCCCTCCTGCCGCCCCCAGCAGGATGGGTCTTCGATTCACCGCATACTTGGCCAACGACGGCGCTGTCTACGCGGGTGAGACGCTCGTCTGCTTCCTGAGCTTTGAGAACACCGCGGCGGCGCCGCCGCCCGCCCGTGGCCGCGGCCACGCCGACGCCGACAGCGCCAACCGCGCCAACAGCGGCCATGCCGCGGGCTCGCCCGCCAGCGCGCCGCCCGGCCGGCGGCTCGCGCGATCCATGACCCACCACCCGAGCACGCCCGCGGCCGGCACGCGGGCGGCCGCCGGGGGGGCCGCCGCCGGCCAGTTGCGCCGCCACCGATCGCCGTCAGGCGGCGCCGCCGCCGCCGCCGATCCCGCCGTCCGCCGCGGCACGTCCTTCACGGAGCGCAGCCGCCCGCGCGGCGTCTCGCCGGCGCCCTCGACGGCGTCCTCGACGGCGCCGTCCGCCGCCGCGTCCGTCTCTTCGGGCCTCGCCGAGCGCGTCCGGTCGTCCATCGGCGCCTACTGGTGGGGATCCGCGGGCTCGGCGCCCGCCGCCGGCGCTCCTGCGGCGGGCCGCGACGGGGCGACGACGCCGCAGGGCCACAGCCACACCCACGACGACGACGACGACGACGACGACGATGACGACGACGACGAGCGCGACTCGGCGTTCGCGGACGGCCGCCCGAGCCCCGCGGCACGGCGGAAACCCCTTGCGGCGCGCCATGCCGCGGCCGTCCTCGCCGGCGCCGAGCCGGCGACCGCCGACTCCCACGCCCATGGCCGACCGTCCGCGGGCGCCAGCCGCCGTCCCAGCCACCACGAAGCCCTCGCGGGCACGGCCGCCGCCGCCGACGCCGCCGCCGATGCCGCCGCCCATGCCGCCGCCCATGCCGCCGGTGCCCGCGACCGCGACCGCGAAGCGTTGAGGCCGCCGGTCCATACGAAACCGCAGCCGGTCGGGCCGACCGTCGGCCTCGCGTTCGGCTTTGCGCAGCTGGTCGGGTCGTTCCGCGTGGACCCCGCGCACGTCGCAGTCTCGCAGCTGGAGGGACTGACGCGCCAGGTCATGTACGCGCCGATCGGCGCGGCGGCCGCCGACGCGCGCGGCGGCCGCAGCAGCGGCGGCGGCGGCGGCTTCGGGACGATCCTCGACCACCGAACCACCGCCGTCGCCGTCGGCGCCGCCGGCATGGACGATGCTTTGGGCCCCGCCCCCGAGCCGCCCACGTCCACGGCGGCGTCCCTCGGCTACGCCACCCTCACGCGCCGCCTGGCTCACCCGACGATGGGCCTGAGCGGCGGCGCGGCGGGCGGGCTCGCGGCGTCGGCCGCGTACCCGATCTTCTCGGCGCCGCCGACGGCGCTCTTCTTCGACCTGCGGCTGCGGCCCGGCGAGTCCCGGACGTTCCGCTACGCCATCCCGCTGCCGGCGCGGCTGCCGCCGTCGCACCGCGGCCGCCTCCTCCGCATCACGTACACCCTGATCCTACGGCTGGAGCGCGAGCCCCGGAGCGGCGACCCGACGAGCCCGCGCTCCGAGATCGTGCATCTGCCGATCCAGCTCTTTGGCGCCGTCGACGCGGCGGCCGGCGCGGGGCCGTCGAGCATCTACCACGTGCTGCATCCGGTCGTCACGACCGTCGACACGGCCCACGTCGTCGCATGGCCGTCCAGCCTCGTGCGCGAGTTCGATCCCGCGCTCGCCGTGGTGCCGCCGGCCCAGGATGCGGGGCCCGCGCGGCCGGTCGACAAGACGGATCCGTCGACGTGGGGGGCCGCGCGGCCGGGGCAGTTACCGCTCCCGCGCGCGGCCGTGCCGCCGCGTCCCGCTTCTGCCGCGGTGCGCGCGGGCGCCAGCGACGCCGAGGCGGCGCCGTCGCCGCTGGACCAGGTGACAGCGCTGTGCCTGACGTCGCGGCGCCTGCACTACGACATCTGCAAGAACAACGGACGCGTAGCGCGGCTCACGCTGGCGCGAAGCGCGTTCCGGATGGGCGAGGACATCAGCGGCGTCCTGGATTTCCGCGACGCGCGCATCGCCTGCTACGCGGTGGCCATCACGCTGCAGGCCACCGAAGACATCGACCCGAGCTTTGTGGCGCCGGGCGCCGCGGCCGCCGCGATGGGCCTGACGACGCCGGTCGCCGTCTTCCGCCGCAACACCGTCAGCGCCGCCCGGCTCGGCTTCCTGCTCCCGGTGCCGGCGGCCCGCGCCGCCCAGGTGGGGCCCGGCTTCGAGACCTCGGCCGTCACCGTGCGCTGGCAGCTGCGCTTTGAGTTCATGAGCGGCACGGGGCCGGCGAGCGTGCGCGCCGTATCGTCAAGCACCCACGACCAGGCCGGTCTGCCGTCGTCGCTGCCGCCGCCGGCGACGGCCTCGGCCTCGGCGACCGGATCGTCGTCCGAGCTCGCGGGGGCCTCGGGCGGCGGCGGGATGGGCGCCGCCGGCTGGCGCCCCGTCGGTCTTGGCGAGTACTTCCGCCAAACATCGCCGCTCGCGGCGCTGCCGACCGAACCGTTTGACTGCACCATCCCGATCGCGGTCTATGGCCACGTGACGCAGCGCAGCGAGACCCTGTTCCGCTTTGCCATCCAAGCGTAACGCCGCGGCCCCTGCGGTGCCTCCGTCCCTCTCCTATGTAATGTGGTCCATCCTTGGGGATGGCCGACAACCATGATGTCGATGCTGCCATGGCTGTCTGGTCATGGACGCTGGCGGCGGACGGCGGCGGCAGCAGCGCCTCCGTGTGGCGCGTGCGGGCACGGGGGGCTCCCTCGGCCCGCCGGGTGGAGGGCCCGGATGGGGGAAGAAGCCGACGCCGTCGCCGCCGACGCCGCGCCCATCGCCGCGATCACCTCTCCCGAGCGCCCTTCGTTGACACCCGCGGCGCCGCGCCGCGGCCTTGACATGGACCGCCCCGGCTCCCGCGACGGCGGCGGCGGCGGCGGCGGCGGCGGCGGCGGCGGCAATGGCGACGGCGGTCGGGTGCTCGGACGGCGAGCATCCCACGAGACCGGTGGTCACGCCCACGATCGCATCCGGGTCCTCTATGGTGACGCACACACGTGGCCGCTCACTCGTCCGATACCCGTCGTTGCGTCGTCCGTCCATCTCGACCCCGTCTTCGTCTCCTCGTCGTCGTGGCGATCGGTGTCGACTCCGCGCTCTTGCGATCGCCCGCTGCCTGCTGCGTCTGGTCCAGTGCTGCGTGGGCTTCACACCGTCCACCGCCATTCCGCCCCAGGTGCCTCGCGCGTTCAGCAGCTCCGCCGGCCTTCTCGCTCGATTCATTCTCGACCCGACAGAAACCAAAAAGGCGCCTCGAACGCGGCGTTGGTTGTCGGTGATCCTCGCATCATCACGAACCCCCGAATCCCCATCCCTTCTCGCCGTCCCCTCATCCCATCGCGCTTGGTGCCGTTGAATCGCCGACTCCCACACTGGCTTCCTGCGCCGCGCCACGCAGCGTGACCCGACGAAACGCACGAAGAGAATTGGTAGCGCACCCTCCCGAGCCCCTTTCGTGAACGCCCCCGGTGATCCGTCCAGGATGGCCTCCAAAGACCAGCCCGGCAAGCCTGCCGTCGATGTGTCCGTAAGTACTCCCATGCTTAGTCCGCTGCGTTGCGTTGTGTTGCGTCGCGTTGCGTTGCGTCACGCGGCGCTACGCTGCGTCGCGGCGCGTCGCGGCGCGTCACGTCGCGACCATGTCGTCCCCGTCAGGCTCATGCACCGTAGCGAGCCGATGCTTCGACTCGACCGGCTGAAAAGCAGCCACGCGCTTTTCTCCATCATCGGAAAGGACAGGCGACTCACCGGTCTTTGCGCTTTTCGTGATCGCAGACGCTCTCCGAAGCCGACCGCGCTTTCTTCCAGAAGTACGGCCGCCTCCCGCCTGCCAAGAAGGCCAACCATCATTTGCTGAAAGCCGATCGCAAGTACTTCGATTCCGGTGACTACGCCTTGAGCCAGGCCGGCAAGGGCTCCGAACCCGTCGGATCGCAGCACCCCAGCCCCGAGCGCATCCCCCACTCCGTCCCCGTCCAGGCCCAGAGCCAGGCGTCCGCCGCCCAGCAACACCTGCCCGCCAAGGAGAGCGCGCTCGTTCATGAGTCCACCCCCGCCTCCGGCAAGGTCTAACCAGGACCCGTGCCCAGTGCGCCTCCCTGCCCGTCTTCCTCCCCCCCAGCACCTTCTCTCCTGACTTCTCGTGCGGCCTGCGCGTCGCACTCGCCCTTTTGAAAAAATTATGAAAACATACCAAATACTTAACATTGACTATGCCTGGTGAACCCCCGTATCGGGACAGCGGCCCGGAAAAACGAAGAGGCGTTGCCCGGCCTGTGCGCCCCTCCTAGCCCGCCATCACGGCCTTCTTCAAAAAGCCGTACCCTCACGGACGAAGGATCAGATGGCGTTAGGCGAAAGCAGCGGACGCTTGGACAAATCGAACAAGCAAGGCCGAAACAACTCGCACAGTTCACGAACTGATGATTAATTCAAAAATGTGAGGCCAGAGTGATTCGAACACCCAACCGTTCGCTCTGGAGGCGAACGCGCTACCGTTGCGCCATGGCCCCATTTGTGTTTTGCTTTAGGAACGAGCCTAGAGGTAGACAGAGTATTGGTATGTATTGGGGATAGGTATATGAAAGGGTAAATATGGAAAGGTTGTCTGGTGTGTATGTGTTCATAGATGGGTACGACAGAGGGGGGAATGGTGCGAGAACGGGGGGTTTATATAGTT